GATGAGGTTTGAAAAGAAGGGCAAGTTGAGCCCAAGGTATATTGGTCCTTTCGGGATTATTGAGAGTGTTGGTGAGGTGGCGTATCAGTTGGCTTTGCCACTTGGTTTGTCAAGTGTCCATCCTGTATTTCATATTTCAATGTTTAAGAAGTATCATCAAGGTGGTGATCATGTGATTCAATAGGATTCAGTGTTACTTGATCAGAATTTGACTTTTGAGGAAGAGCCGATCACCATTTTGGATAGACAAATTCTGAAGCTAAGGTCCACGGAGATTGCTTCAGTAAAGGTTCAGTGGAAGCATCATCTAGTGGAGGAGGCTACATGGGAGATAGGGTCAGACCTGAGGAGTAAATATCCTCATATTTTTTTAGCGTTCAGGTTAAATCTTTTCTTTTCCCGTTTGAGGACGAACTTTTGTTTAAGTGGTAGGTGATGTAACGACCCGCTAGGTCATTTTGTGAACTAGGACTAGTTTGACTCCTTTTGAAAATTTAAAGGGGTATTTTTAAACTATTCGAAGACTAAGAATATTTAGTTGATAAAAATTTTAGTGAAGAATTAATAAAGTTAATAGTTAGTGGGTCATATCCATAATTCATTCTATACCTTTTTACTTGACCCATTATTTGATTTAGGTTAGTGGGATTAGTTTATTTATTTTACTTAATTAACATTAGAAGGGCAGAAAACAAAAGAGGTAGAAGCTGCTTTTTTTGGGCAGCGTAGATTACAGAACGTGAGGGAACCAACGAAATCTTCAGGTAAGAAGCAATTTGAAAAATTTCTTGATTGTTATATGGATCTTAATGAATATAAGGTAGATGGAAAGTTGATCCCTTGTTCGTCTATTTATTATTATAAGTTCGAAAATTGAGAGGAAAATTAGCGGAGAACGGTGTATATTTCTTTGCAATAGCAGTTTGGAGTATGTCGTTCCTGTGACTATTATTAGAAGTTTAGTTGTTACACTTTATGAAGTTGAGGGAAAATATTTAGGATCATGTGATTTTATTAATAGTAAGAGTGGATGGAATTTTTTTAATTAAAATAATTAAAAAGGGACGAGGATAAGCATGCTTAACGTGAGAAAAAAACTGTGTTAATATGACTTAGTCATTACGCAGTAATGCTTTGTCAATGTTGGAGGAGAATGTCATCATGCCAATCATTGGAAATCATGCCAATCATTGATAATCATTGAAAATCATTTGTCAATGATTGGCCTTTGTATAAGAATCTTTAACCTTTGCATATTAAAAAATAAATGACCTGCAGATGGTCATGTTGCAGTGCTTCTGTTTGTCTGTAGTGCATGTTATTACGTGGACCTGCTTAAGCTAATTATCAATTTAGATTTAAATTTAATATATTGAGATTGGTAATTAATTATTAGGAGTTATTTTATATGATCTAACATTAAATTTTAGTCCATTTGAAGAGGTTAGAGTTAAGTTCTTGGCTTGAAATTTAGCAAGTATGAAAAATTTGGCATACCAATATATATCAAGATTTGGAGTTTGGTTGAAAATATGAGTGAGTTTTAGAGTCTATGATAGACATATAATAATTTGAATGTCTACAAAAATTGGTTACGTACGAATATTGCAAAATTGGTAGATTGGAAACGTTCCGAAACCTTGCGAAAAGGAAAGGAAAAATCTTAAAAGATTCGTGGCACAAGTTCGGCATCTAAGGTATTTTAAGACTTTTTAGACTTGTTGAAGGACGTTTTCCTAATTAAAGATTAAAAATGAAAATAGACAAAGGGGTAAGGGAGAAAGATGGGGGTCTCATATCATTGGTGTGACGGGCATTGGTACGAGTACTGGTGTTATAAAACAGAAAGTTACTACTATAGAATGTGGATTGTAATTTGAGAATTTGCCAAAGCATATGGGCATGGGATGATATATTATTGACTTGAAATTTTTGTGTGATTGTGTTTTATTATTTTTTACACCCGTATAGTTGTGATAATGGAGGTGGTTGTGTATTATGTCGATATTGATTGAGTGAGATGCATCATCATCCCCTTATTTCGAAATAATATTCTATAGATGCATTGACATGAGATTGAGTATAAGATGGGCACGTGTAGATCGTCCGTGCTGGGGATGGTAAGATGTTAAGATTGTAATTTAGGCACGTGACCGTCCGTGCGGAAATTGTTTGATATTATGATGGTGCATTGAGATCGTCCGCACAGACACGTGGAGATCGTCCGTGTCGGTATATGGACCTCGTGAGTCCCCCATGGGTCATGAACTCTCGATGTATTTCCGAGGAGTATCATGTGTATACGATTGAGTGAGTAGTGCGTATTCTGAGACATATCATTACATGGTATCATATTGCATTACATTTCATCACATCATTCATTCTTGATGATTATATGTTTCGTTTGGTGGTTATAAGTACCTTATGTTGATTACCTTTATTGATGAAACTTAAATAGTGAATGTATTATACATATATACTTATATAATTTAAGAATTTATTTTTTAAAACTCCCGTCACTACTTATTCGTTGTCGGTCAATGAGACATACTGAGTACACGTGGTTTCGTACTCATACTACACTTGTTGCACTCTTTGTGGAGCAGATTCGATTCCAAGTAGGAGCACATCTCGAGGAGCAGTTTGAGTCCGAGTTTGGAGTGTCTTGGAGTTGTGGTGAGCTGCTTGGCTATTCCGTGGCCCACACTTCCCTCTATCTTTTACATATTTTGTTATTCAATATTCAGACAGGATATCCCTTATGTTAGATTTGTCATTTTAGTTTCAGACTTGCATCGTATTCTAGAAGTCCTTGTACTTAAGACACCAATTCTTGGGGTGATATATTTTTTCTAGTTTCCGCATTTCGTACTTTAAGGAACTCATTGTTGGAGATTCTTGCCAAGTTTTTTTGCTTTTTTTTTTCATTTGTTGGTTGCGTTTGGTTAGTATGTTGGGTTGGCTTACCTATTGGTTGGGAACATAGGTGCCACTACGACTCGTGTTTCTTTTTGGGTCGTGACATCAACCCTTCTATCCTTTACCATTCAATGCAATAAAGTTCTAGTCATCTTCTTTGTTCCTACTCTTTCTAATATTTGTCATCTTATTTTAATTTAAGTTACGTTAATTTAATGATATGACATGCATGCGGAGTTACCAATTAGATCCTAAAAAGTTGTCTGATCTCATAACAATGAATCCTATGTCTAAGGAATATGATGAAGATGAACCTCATGAAGAAATTAAAAAGGGTTTGGATCAATTTGAAAATAAGCCTAAACCTAATTTAAGTGAAACAAAGGTGTTTAATTTGGGAACTCCCGAAGAAGTGAAAGAAATAAAGATAAGCATTCATGTCGATCGAACTATTCGAGACGACATAAATCAAGTTTTAATTGAGTACAAAGATGTCTTCGCTTGGTCATACGATGACATGCCGTGGTTAAGTGCTGATTTGGTAGTTCACAAACTTCCCATACATCCTGATTTTCCACCTGTCCAGCAAAAGCAGAGAAAATTTAAGGCAGATATAAGCGATAAAATCAAAGAGGAAATCATGAAGCAACTGAATGCAAATGTGATCAGGGTTGTCCAATACAATACTTGGTTGGCAAATGTTGTGCCAGTACAAAAAAGGATGGACAGATAAGAGTTTGTGTTGATTATCGAGATTTAAACAAAGAAAGTCCAAAAGACAATTTTCCACTACCCAACATTCATATCTTGGTTGACAATTGTGCTAAACACAAGATTCAATCTTTCGTGGACTACTACGCCGGATATCACCAAATTCTCAAGGATGAAAAAGACGCAGAAAAAACTTCTTTCACTACCCCGTGGGGTACATATTGTTATACGGTCATGCCATTTGGTCTACAAATGCAGGAGCAACTTACAAGAGAGTTATGACTACAATATTCCATGAAATGATGCATAAAGAAGTTGAGGTATATGTCGATGATGTCATCATTAAGTCTAGAATGCAAATTGATCATGTGCGTGATCTAAGAAATTTTTTTGAAAGGTTGAGAAAGTACTATCTCAAGCTTAATCCGGCTAATGTGCATTTGGAGTGCCATTTGGCAAGTTTTTGGGTTTTATAGTTAGCCGAAGAGGCATTGAATTAGACCCCTCCAAGATAGTCCATTCGAGAATTGCCACCTCCAAAAATCAGAACTGAAGTCATGAGTTTTCTAGGAAGGTTGAACTATATCAGCCGATTCATCGCTCAACTCACTACTACATGCGAGCCGATATTCAAGTTATTAAAAAGGATGCTGCTATTAAATGGAAAAGTGAGTGTCAAAAGGCTTTTGACAAAATTAAGGAATATTTAGCAAATCTTACGGTATTGGTCCCCCCAGAGCCTGGTAGGCCTTTGTTTTTATACCTCTCGGTAACAAATAATTCCTTTGGTTGTGTTCTAGGATAACATGACGTCACGGGGAAAAAAGGAACAAGCCATCTATTACTTGAGCAAAAATTTCACATCCTATGAGGCAAAGTACACTCTATTAGAAAAAACATGTTGTGCTTTAACTTGGGTCGCCCAAAAATTGAAGCACTATTTTTTGTCCCACACCACTTACCTCATATCTCGAATGGATCCTCTGAAACATATTTTTCAAAAATCCATGCCGACGGGTAGGTTGGCCAAATGGCAGATTTTGCTTACCGAATTTGATTTTGTGTATGTTACTCACCGCCATGAAAACACAAGCGTTGGCCGATCATCTGGCAGAGAATCCGATTGATGATGAATACGAACCCTTAAAGACATACTTCCCTGGTGAAGAGGTCAACTCTATCGAGGAAGAAATTCCTGATAATGACGCCGTATGGAAATTATATTTTGATGGGGTTGTCAACAAAAACGGAGTGGGAATTGGGGAAGTTCTGATCTCACCAAGCGGTTTTCATTATCCTGCCACAACACGACTTTGATTCTTTTCTACAAACAACACAACATAATACGAGCTTGCATCATGGGTTTCAATATGGCAATAAATTTGGATATACATGAGCTCTTAGTATTGGGGGATTCCGACTTGCTCATTCGACAAACTCGAGGCGAAGGGGAAACTCGAGACATTAAGCTCATACTGTACAAACAATGTTTAGAAGATCTCATCAAAAAGTTCAAGCCCATTGAATTTAGATATATTCCCAGGTTTCACAATGAGTTGGCTGATGCTTTGGCCACCCTAGCATTGATGCTTCCATACCCAGGTAATACCTACATTGACCCGTTGGAAATCCAAGTTAGGGATCAACATGGTTATTGCAATATAATTACGGTAGAGGCAAATGGTGAGCCTTGGTATCACGACATCAACAGTTTATAAAAGCTAGAGAATATCCACTGCATGCTGATAGAGATAAAAAAAAACTATTAGGCAACTTGCCAGTGGGTTACTCTTAAGTGGCGATATCTTATATAAAAGGACTCCGGATTTGAATTTATTAGATGTGTGAATAATCAAGAGACAGAAACAATTATGAATGAGGTATACTCAGGGGTATGTGGCCCACACATGAATGGTTACGTCCTAGCAAAAAAGATTATTCGGGTAGGGTACTGTTGGTTGAACATGGAGCGAGATTGCTTCCAATTTGTTCGCAAGTGCCATCAGTGCCAAATTCATAGCGACTCTATTCACTCACCCTCTTTAGAGTTGCATCCTATGTCTGCTCCGTGGCCTTTTGTTACATGGGGAATAGACGTTATTGGGCCAATAGAGCCAAAAGCATTTGACGGTCATCAATTTATTTTAGTTTCCATCTTCTCTCTAATCCTTCGTGCGTTCTTTATCCTATTCCGATTCGATTTAGCTTTCTTTTAGTTGCTATATCTTTATTTTTAAGAAAGGTGGATCTATAGGGGAAAGGATAAATATATAGTATCAATAATAAGATAGTTTGATTTTCTTGTTTGCACATGTGTATTGTCTAATCTATGAGAATCAAGTTTTTCCCCTTCCGTAAACGCATAATTACTTTACCAAATGGGTAGAAGCTGTCACATTCAAATCAGTTACCAAGAAAGCAGTGGTGGATTTCGTTCATTCCAACATCATATGTCGTTTTGGCATACCAAAAATAATTATTATAGACAATTCAATGAATCTCAATAGCCACTTGATGAAGGAAGTTTGTGAGCAATTTAAAATTGTTCATCGTCATTCAACCCCTTATCGTCCCAAAGCAAATGGGGCTGTTGAAGCTGCGAATAAGAACATCAAGAAGATTCTTAGGAAAATGGTGCAAGGATCTAGACAGTGGCATGAGAAATTACCCTTTGCTCTCATGGGATATCGCACGACTGTTCGTACGTCAGTCGGTGCAACTCCTTACTTATTGGTTTATGGAACTGAGGCTGTCATACCCGCAGAAGTTAAAATCCCTTCTCTCCGAACCATTGTTGAAGCGGAAATAGAGGATACAGATTGGTTAAATCGAGGTTAGAACAATTAGCATTGATAGAAGAAAAACGATTGACATCAATTTGTTTTGGTCAATTATATGAGTAGAGGTTGACTCGGGCATATAATATGAAAGTACGCCAAAGGAATTTTGAAGTGGGTCAACTTGTTGTGAAACATATCCTTCCCCACCAAGATGAGACCAAGGGAATGTTTGCTCCAAATTGGCAAGCCCCTTATGTTATTAAACAAGTGTTATCCAAAGGAGCTTTGCAATTGGCGGATATGGAGGGAAAGACAATTGACACAATTGTCAATGCAGATTCGATCAAGAGATACTACATTTAGCACTCCTTCTCATTTTTATGATGAGAAGATAAAAATGTATCCTCTTTTATCTCAAACACCACTGGTCTGGTGCTTTTTTTAAAAAATAAAAAATTAAAAATTTAAAAAAAATTTAAAAAAATAAAAAAGAAAAAATAAAAAAAACACTAAAAGTTCATTGAACTACGTTTGACCTGATTCCTAAAAGGATACGTAGGCAGCTCTTCATTAGGGTTCGGTCTAATCACTCAATAAAAAGATAATCATGTTCTTCAGTTCTCTAAAGGTTGAGACATTATGTAGGCGAGCTATGGGAGAAAATGAAGAAGAGAGTGTTGTGAGTGAAAACTCTTACAGGCAATATAAGATGATGGTTAGTTGAGTGACAAAGATTAGAATGTCTTATTGGTGAAAAATCATGAAAGGTGCTACTGATCGAATGATGACATTTTGTCTTGACATGAGCGCAATCATGACAAAAGTCAAATTTAGACTGAAAGGTGCAACATTGTTTCATGAGATTCAGACAACTCGAAAAAGATGAAACGTTCGGTCCAATTGCATTTCATGTTCCAAAGTTGTCACGTACTTTTAGATAAGATTCTTTTCACTCATTTAAACATTTTTTTATTTATCTACTACTTCTAAAGACACAATTTTTCCTTCATAACTCTTTCATTAGTGTCATTTGTACTTGTGTTTCATTGAGTTTTTCTTTTTCTTTCTCAGCATCAACTCGTGTCAAGTGAGAAAATAAGATAAAATTCGTAAAATTAACTACAGTATTTCCAGTTGAATGTTGGGGACATGCACCATATTGGCTAGGGCTGTGAACCTATCGAGAAAATAAATATCATAAATCGATACCGTGTGAAAATATATAAAGCAAAAGAGTCGCTTGGGATCGAATGAACCACACAACATGCACAAAATGGTAATGAGTTAAAATGTCCATGAAAGGTGTTTCAAGGAAAGATAAGGACTGTTTTTAAAACATCTACAAGATATTCACACAATAATCAATGGGATGAATCTTCCAAGCAGGGCGGATCCAGAAGTCAAGCTTTACAAGATACTCAAAGTCACGAACCAACCACCATGTAGGAAAATTAACAATACATTTCTTTGACTCAAAACAAGTATAAGGCAGAATCATGTAAATAGTTTGCGACAGACAAACGCCACGATGGAAAGTTCTTGAATCTTTACTTTTCATATAATATGCGTGATAAAATAACAATAACAATAAAAATAAATTTTTTAAATTGAATCTGGGGCATTTTATTTTATTTTTAGTTTGTTCAATGTACAAATAAAAATAAAATAAAATAACGATGAATAATAATATTAATAATGATAATAATATAAGTGAAAAGAAGAAATGTATGTATATATATATATATATATATATATATATATATATATATATATATATATATATATATATATATATATATAATCATGTCTTCATAGGGCACAATAACCCCTATTTTACTTTTCATGTCTTCACAGGGCACAATAACCCCTTGTTGCATATAGGGCACAATAACCCCTATTTTATTTTTCATGTCTTTAGAGGGCACAATAATCCTTTGATTGCATATAGGGCATACTACTCCCTATCATTTTTTCTTCACAGGGTACAATAACCCCTGGTTGCATATATGACACAATAAACCCTATCCTATTTTTCATGTCTTCACAGGGACCAATAACCCTTGGATTGCATATAGGGCACAATACCCCATTTTATTTTTCATGTCTTTAGAGGGCACAATAACCCCTTGATTGCATATAGGGAACAATCACCCCTATCATTTTTCTTCACAGGGCACAATAACCCCTGGTTGCATATAGGGCACAATAACCCCTGTTTTATTTTTCATGTCTTCAGAGGGCACAATAACCTCTGGGTTGCATATAGGGCACAATAACCCCTATTTTATTTTTTATGTCTTCACACGGCACAATAATCCCTATTTTATTTTTTCATGTCTTCACACGGCACAATAACCCCTGATTGCAATTTGGGTACAAAACTCCCTTTTGTCTTATTCTTTTTACATTCTGTAATAGGCTGTAAAAACATTATTTTTATTATTAGTATAGACTTTTATAGTTTCATCAATAACTCACAAAATTTTCTAGTGCAAACTAGGCAGGAAATTTTGTTTTGTGTGCAGGTTTCTACATAATACACAAATTTGCAGTTCAAAAATAAAAGAATTCATCCTTTCAAGAAAATAAGTTTTCAAGAATATCATGCGGAAGAACGTCAGTAGCTGAAGTCAAGTCATGAAGTTTCAAGTCTTAAACTCAGATGTTCAGAGCAAAGGGTGGGATTCGATGAACCTACCAAAGAGGGTGAAGCGATATCTGAGAATCCAAAATGAAGACTTAGCACTATCGGAGTAGATATGATTTCATATCTTTCCTTCTGCATTTTTTTATGTAATAGCTGGAGCTACGAACCGCAATCTCGACAAAATCTCACTAGACTACCTAACTCATTGGAACTACGTCTGACTCCTTATCATCAACTTAGGAAAGGTAGTTTTTAAAAAGTTAGGACACAGTCAAACCCCTTCTCTATTATAAATTTTTCACATTTTTGCCATAAATATTTTAGTAAAAAAATTAGCCACATTGTTCACGTCTTTGCATGAAACTCTTCATGTTTTCAAGCAAAGAGGGGCATACTGTGAATACCTAATTTTTTACCAAAACATAATATATTTTACATCAATTTAAAAGGGGTTATATTTAAAATAAAATAAAATAATAATAATAATAATAATAAATTGTAAATTAATAAAAATTATACGATCAATTATAGTTTAATAAATTTTTTTTTGATAAATAGAAGTTGGGAATTTAAGTTATTTGTTAATTATCTAGTCTAAAAATAATAATAATATAGAAAATATTATGAAAAAGTATAGAAGAATAAAAGAAAGGAGGAGTCCTAAAGATTTCAAATTTGGTCTACCTTATCCTAATTATTCCCAACTTCCTAACTTATTTTACTAAAAAATCTCATCCCGTTTATTTTTTTTCTCTCTCTCTTTTGGACGTTTGTTTTACAAACTATACACTTTTTTTTGTTTTGTTTTGTTTTGTTAAATTTTCTATTATTATTATTTATTTATTTTATATCCTTACCTCAACCCCAATTTCCTCAACAATATTTCAAATTAAATCATAATCCCACTCTATTACGTTCCTTTTAATTAACACCAGTCTCTCAGCCAAAATTATTATAAAAAACACATTCAGTTGAAAAAAAGAGACAGAGGAAAAGAGAGAAATACAAAGAGAAATATAGAGAGACATAGAGAGATAAAGAGCAAACACAAAGAGAAGAAAAATGAGTTATTCTTTTGAGAATTAGGTCAGAATTAGAGATTTTGTCGTGGTTTTAATTTCGTGTCTCAAATCAGTAGATCGTAGCAGTTGTTTTTCGTGATATCCATTTTCGCAGCGAGGTAACTCTAAATTCTCGCATTATTTAAATGTAATGTTGTAAGAAAATTTGAATCTAATAATATGAAGTTCTTTTAATTGTATGTTATTATTATGTAATATAAATTCGTGATGCATGTTATGATTTTTTTTATATGAAAACGGAACAAAAAGAAAATGTTTCTTGCTAACAAAAAAATAATATAAAATAAAAGATGCATCATACATTTTCTTGCATTGTTATTAGTTTCTGTTATTTTTTAGATGCAATTCATATTAAAATTATTTTGTGATATTTAATAGCTAATGTTTCTTGGAGCCTAGTTTTCACTTACGAATTTTCTTTACAAAAAATAATATTTGTAAATTTATAGAATTAGAAAATAAATTAAAGCTTAAGTGATTAGCAATTTGAAAAGGTTAAACAAAACATTTTCGTATATTTTTTCAATAAATAAGATGGTATTCCTCTGGAATAAACGTAAGATGATAATCACTAAATCGTATTATTATGAAATACAATAAGATGGAGATAGAATATTATTTAGAAAATTATGGTAAAAAAAATTAGACAAATTATTGAAAATATTAATAAAAAAAGCATAAAAGAAAAGAACAACAAAAATAATAATAATAAAGATAATAATGAAACAAAAGATTAAAAAAAAAACATAACCAAAAAAAACTAGAGAACAGAAAGAGAATGTAAAAAAAAAAGAGAAAGAATCAGAGTAAAATAAATAAATAGAAAAATGTAAAAAATAAAAAAAATTAAAAGCAAACAAAAAATATACAAAAAAAATGCGTGAAAAAAAAAGAAAAAAAAGTGAAATGAAAAATCACAAAAAAAAAAGGGAGAGAGAAGTAGAATGAAAATATAATAATATAAAACTAATATAACACAAGGTAGAAATTAAATAAAATGAAAAAACGTAAAAAAAACAAAGAAGTAACAAAAAATTATTTTTTAAGAAAAAGGAGAAAAAGAAAAAAGCTATAAAATAATATTAAAATAAAAATATGATAAAATTTAAAAAAAAATAAAAAGAGAGAGAAACAGGTTTTACTAAAAAAAAGAAAAAAAATAAACAAAAAATGTACAAAAGAAAAAAAAGATCAAAAAAAAAAGAAAGGGAAAACTTTGTTTCATTTAAAAAAAATAACATATCTAATCTATTTAGGATTTCTTGATAAAAACTAACTTCAAATCTTATAAAATTTATTTATTTTTCTTATTTTTTTATCGAATAAATA